TTTTTTTGTTTTGAAATCAAAAAATATTTAGAGGTCGCTCAAAGCGCTCAAAGTTTCCCATGTATTTTATAAATCTGAGAGAAAACGACTTTTCGTGGAAATGGTACAGTATTCTTGAAAATCAATATTTTTCGATCGGGAAAACCCTATTCCTCTTCAGGAGATTTCCAATAATATTACCCAATTATTTATTTAACAATTTTTTCATAGTAACTATATTTTCAATGAGGGAAGAAATAAAAAAATCGTTAGTATTTAAAAATGGTTAAATAAACAATTGGGTGTTATTATGGGAATCTCCTGCAGATAAATAGGGTCTCCAGATCGAAAAATATTGATTTTTAAGAGTCCTATACCATTTCCATTTAAAATACATGGAAAACTATGAGCGCTTTGAGCGACATCTAAATATTTTTTATTTCAAAATAAAAAAATAGGGGTATATTTATTTCGGTATAGAAGAATCCTAAGGAGTGAGGGCACAACAATTCCGATTTTACTCTTCACATGCATTTTTGGACCACCCTAATGTAAATACAAGCATATATATATGTACATACAAATGTATTGCATGCAACCGCAATAAGATTTCATTCATATTTGTTTCATTTCACTCAGACTTTCGCATGTAATTAAGAGTATAAAAAATGCCTGTGCACCGCCCCAAAATGCATTGCTACCCCCGTTGAGTTAGTTGGAAGCGCACTGCTTCACGCTCGCAATGATACGTTGCTGCTGCGTTGAATACGAGTGTATAAGTATCGCTTCGCATTTTAGCCGCAAGCGCGACTTTTACATTGCATTTGCACTTACTCAGCTACGCACAGTGGGGTGGTTTTCGTTCACTACTTATTATGCACTACATTGTGCGGTTTATTCGCTTGCATTTTATCAAAATGTAACTAGTAATTTACATAAAAAGCGCATTTACATAGACACATACATATACATATGTACAATAGGCTGGGTCAATTTTGATTTTAATAAATCGCATTTTTAAACGAAAAAGTTGCCTTTTCACGATATTACTTTTTTCACCTTTTCTTAAAACTTTTGCATATAAATCATCTGTATTTAAGTTTCTTACATTTGTTAAATTTTTTTAAACCAGTTTTAAAAAGTAAATACATCTCTTGTGTGAATTTTGAACTTAAATTAATATATAGTAAAAAGTAATGGAATTTGTATTTTAACAAAAAAAAAACTCGATATGAGGACGTCTAAGACTTACCGTTGATTTTTGCCATTTTTTTTTTGCTGACAGTGTCTCTTCCATACAAAGATGATTTTTTTTTTTTCAACAAAAAATGCCAAAATCGACGGTAAGTCTTCCCTACTTGCACTTTATTTAAAAAAAAAATTGAATGGACCACGAAACAGTGTACTCAAAAATTTTTACGAAAGTTCACAGTTACGATCTTTGTTAAAGAGTAAAACAAATCTTTACAAAAAAATATCTGAAATTTAATGACAAAAAATAAATTATTAAAGCCTGTCAATATGTGGTGTTATTATAATTTTGATACAGATTTTGGATGGTAAATATGCGAAATCAATTCAAAATGTTATAAAGCAAAATGTAGGTATATTGTAGCCATTAGTTGTAAAAAAAGGTGAACTCTTTGTAAAACCGGCACAAAACGAAAAACAGTTTTGAGAAAAGATAAATGTTTCTTTTAAAAATGTGCAGGCAGTTGGTCGGAACTTATTTCCGACTTATAGTTTCTTCTACATTTTCTCTTAGAAGTATCTATAGAAACAGAAACAAGTAAGAGCAGCGCTGTCTTCGGCTATGCCGAAGGCTTCATACCTTTCATGAACATCTGCAAATTTTACTTTGACAGATTACTGCTTTTGAGTACATCTGCATACATCGATAGAGGAGTTACATACCTATATAAAAAATCGCATCTGAACAAACAGAGGTATGGAAGATATACCTTATATTAGCACCAATCTAAGTGATTTTCACTGCTATGTGATCGGTATGTAAACCGACACAATTTATTGGGTTTAGTTTCCTACATAAAGGAGATATATCGCAAAAACTGGTATCTGAACAATCAGTGCTATAGGAGATAAAGCTTATACAGCATAGATTTTGACGATTTTCTCAGTAGACTTTGTATTATTATTTATAAAATATCTTACGAAATTTATCGGTTTTAGCTGTTCAAATAAAGGAGTTTTACAGTAAAAACCCATATCTGAACAATCAGATGTATGGAAGATATATGTTGTAGTCACCCGATCCTTGTTATTTTCACTGTAAGTATTCTGTTAATAATGAGTGAAAATGGTGCGAAATTTCATGTTCCTAGCTGCATAAATGCATGAATTATAACGAAAAATCTCATATCTGAACAATCAGTTGTATGGGAGCTATAGGTTATAGTTATCCGATCTTTTTAATTTTCACTGTAAGTTTTCTGTTGATAATTATTGAAAACAGTGCGGAATTTCCTGTTCCCAGCTATATAAATGGAGGAGTTATAACGAAAAATTTTATATCTGAACAATCAGTTGTATGGGAGCTATAGGTTATAGTGAACCGATCTTTGTAATTTTCACTGTAAGTATTCTGTTAATAATGGGTGCAAGTGCTGCAAAATTGCATGTTCGTAGCTGCATAAATGTAGAAGTTATAACGAAAAATCTCATATCTGAACAATCAGTTGTATGGG